AAAACGACCACCGTATATATGAACGCACCACCTGTCCCCGTTCATCAGGACGTACAGCATCTCCGAGTGATGGTGGTGATCGGTGTAAGCCAACTGTGATAAGAACCCAGGCCCCCTGTCTCGTTCACAGCGTGTAACGAGCTCCCGTGGATGGTTGGTGATACGGTGATAGCCACGCTTATAGGAAGCACCACGCTGTCTGTCACACAGACAGCGTTAACAGCGTCCCGTGGATGATGGTGATACGGGTTGTAGCCGACCTGTAATAGACGCGGGCCAGCTCCCCTGTTTGCTCACAGGCGTTAACAGCTTCCCCGTGATGGTGGAATACGGTGTACGCCAGCTGTATACGCCCTTAATAGAACGACCACCTGTCTGTTCACAGCTCGGGTTGAACGAGCTTTCGTGGATGGTGGCGGATGACGGATGTAAGCCACCCTGTATAGCGAAAACAGCCACCGGATGTCTGTACATCAACTGCGGACTCACGAGCTCCAACGAGTGGTGGGGAATCGGTGTACCACTAGATTAAGACGGCCAACCTGTCTGCTCACTGACGATTAAGCTTTCCGCTGGATGGTGGGGATGATACGGTGTAGCCACCTGTATATGAACGCCACCTGTCTGTTCACAGCGTTAACAGCGTTCGCGTGGAATGGTGTGACACTTTTTTATAAATGATTATATTACGTGGACACAACTGATGGTACAGACAAAAGTGGGAAATGGAGTGGATTTTATTAGTGTAAGGCCAATTGCGCCGAAGTAAATAGCGAAATGGTGTAGACATTCTCTCTCTTTTTACTAAATAGACCGAAATGGGGAATTAGCCCCAGTAGGCGAAAATGGGAGTAGCCCAACTGAGAGGCATAGAAGCCCTACGTATAAACCTACCAACCACGTAGAGCATCTGTGAAACGCTGGCCTGACGAGAAACAGGTGTCTTCTATAACAGGTGGGCGCGTCCGTTACAGGTAAATGGATACACCATTGTACCCTCCCGTCTTCTCACTCATCCAAGCTGGGAAGCTGTGAACCCGCTGTCAACGACAAGGTGCCGCTTCCTATACAGGTGCTACACCGCGGTCACTCCTCACCCGATGCCATCGAACTGACGAGACGCTGTTGAATAGAGACAAGGTGGCGCGAAGTTTTAGATACAGGGTGCGCCGAGGTAAATAGTGCGCCGTGGGTCGCCGACGGGTAGAGACAGTAATCGCGGGCAAGCCGAGGGAGTACCATATGCCGCCGAGGTAATAGTGCGCCGCCGACGCGTAAACAGTACGCGCCGAGGGGTAATATGCACTGCATCGACAGGTGAGAACGAGTACGTCGGCCGAACGGGGTCACAGTACGCGGCCGAGGGTAAAAGTGCGCGCCCGACGGGTTAAACATGCGCGCCGACCGGGTTTTAAACAGTGCGCCTCCGAGGTTAATAGTACGTGCCGAGGGTAAATAGTGCGCGCCCGACCGGTAAACAGTGCGCGCCGAGGGTAAATGATGCGCGCCTAAACGGGTAAGCAAGTGTGCGCCGAGGTAAATAGTGCAGCCGCCGACAGGGTAAACAGTGCGCGCCGAGGGTAAATAGTGCGCGCCGATGGGTAAAACAGTCGCGCGTCCGAGAAAAATAGTCGCGCGCCGACGAGTAAACTGTCCCGCGGCCGAGGGTAAATAGTGCGCGCCGATGGGTAAACAGTGCGCGCCGAGGGTAAATAGTGCGCTGGCCGACGGGTAACACTTGGTGGCGGAGAACAGCGCACGCGTGTGTGATTTGTCGACATGATGACATTGTTTTATTCATCACTAAATCTTCGTAAACAATGGTAAATATACACACGCGCGGGCTCGTTTTGATTCTCGTTTCCTCTCTCGCTCTCTTCGTCTCGTAACAAACAAATTATCAATCATCATCAAAATTATATTATTTTACAAACAAGTAGTATTTTAATATAGTAGTATACTGTCCATAAAAACGTGGTAACAAAGCTTTGCTAGGCTGAAACAAAAATACCGAAGCCATATACAAGCAATAGGGGGCGCTGCGGTCGCGTCGCGTGGCCGCAGCAGCGCAACAGCGACGCGCAGACGACGTGTGTCGCAGCATGCACGGTCGCCGTCGCGCAACACAGCGCACGACACAGTGAGGGACACACACGCGCGGCGGCGGTGGTGACGTTATGCCGTGTGCTGCACGCAAGCGCATGCCCGCGCACCAACACCAACAGACCTGTGAGTGTGGGGGGGGGTGAGTCTTGCTTGCCCAGCCCCGCTTGATCTATCTTTCCTCCCCCTCACCCGGGGGGTGGGAGGGGGAAGGGGAGGACGGTGGGGACCTCTGCGGGCGGAACGACGGGAGTGTTTACGATGACAAGTGAGCATTCGGGAAACGAGAATGAAAAAGGAGAGAGAGAGAGAGGGCGAGATAGATAGATACAGAGAGAGAGAGAGAGATAGAGGGCGAGATAGATAGATACAGAGAGAAAGAAAGAGAGAGAGAGAGAGAGAGAGATAGATAGAGAGAGAGAGAGAGAGAGAAAGAGAGAGAGAGAGAAAGAGAGAGAGAGAGAGGAAGAGAAAGAGAAAGAAAAGTGGAGGAAGACGGAGCGGGAAGAAGAGGAGGAAGACGAGGAGGGAAAATCAGAGGGTAAAGGAGAGGGTAGGACGAAAGGAAGACGAAAGGAGGGTAGATGAAACACACGCACGCACAGGTCCCCGATGCTCTGAAATCTCCCTTCCACCCAATTTAAACACGGCCGGCTGGCGTCACCACCGTCGCACACGAGCGTTCCGGTACACACCACGTCACGATCAACTGTTACTTTTCAAGCACATCATATAACAACTCGACATACGGAGCCTCCCTCGGATCAACCACCCACCCACCGTGGGGGTGGTGGAAGGGTGGTCCAACAGGGAGGATCATTTTTAATACAACTTTTTACATCAACAGGGTAAAAACTAAAACTATATCGTTGATATACTAAAATACTGAAGATCTGAAAACCCTTACTTACACATTTTTACAGCGCAAAAAACAAACAAACAAACAAACAAACAAACAACAAGTACAGAGAATTTAAAAAGTGAGCGTTGAGACGATGGCGGGAGAAGGTGGCGACACCTGGTGTCGCGGGAGGAAAAAACGCGTCCGAGTAAATTCTCACGTTAAACGATATCGAATTCTTGATTTAAAAACAAACGACTTCGCAGGCCGATTAACGATTAATTAGCCACTGCTAAATACACAATTTCTCGCGCACGCAGCCTTAAAATGGCGTCCGCGACCACAAGAGACGTTCTCTTGTCGCGACCGATCTCTCCCCCGCTCGCCACGCGGGAGGTAGGGACCGATTACAAAAAGAAAATCGCAAGGGGGTCGTCACGGCGATGACATGTGCCGGCACCACCTGCCACCGTCGGCACGAAACGAGCAGGATGTCGTCGCCTGATCGCCGTTTTCAACGACGACGAGAGACGAGTTAAGCTCGGCTACCAAGTCCGCGCCGCCGGTGGCAGACGCGTGCGCGCGCGACGCGAGCATGCTCTCTTGTTTCCCGTGACGCGGAAGCACGAGAGAGAATCGCGGTACGACGAACGAAAAAAACAACCGGTACAGCGGCGGCGGATAACGACAACATCTGCGATTGAAAAAACGGGGTCCGGTATCTACAAGTGGCACGTGTCGCGCGCGGGGGCGTCGCTCGCCAGGGGGCGCCGCCGTGCCCCTCACCCGCCTAACGCTAAGCTCGATCGATTATTATTGGACCGCGCAGGCCACGAGCGCGGCCGTCCGGGGTCATGACCTTTCGACACCTCGTGCGACCTTCGCACGCAGGGGGCGTTGAGGTCGCCTCGGCCCGGACAGCCGTGCGCGCGGCGCGGGGCAAGGATTGGACAGTTAAATACGTGTCGCTAATTTCTGACGAATCACGGTGGAGATAGTCGCGATTATCGCCGACGAATCAGAATCACTCGGTGGGCTTCACTCAGCATCTTCCTCCTCATCCTCATCCCCGTGAATCACTCAGCATCTTCCTCCTCATCCTCATCCCCGTGAAGCATCTTCCTCCTCATCCTCATCCCCGTGAATCACTCAGCTTCTTCAGCATCAAAATAGGCTTCACACTTCCTTTTCGTCTGCCTTCTCGCTCTCCTCCTCATCCCTGCCCTCCTCCTCATCCGTCCCGTCAGCATCATCATAATTTCGCTGAATCACTCGGTGGGTTTCACTCCTCCTCCTCCTCCTCATCCGAGAATCTCTGCATCGCGCACCTAGCTCAGTAACTATCTTTCTCTCTGTGTCTACCCCTTTCCCTCTCTCTCTCTCTCTCGCTCTATCTCTCTCTCTCTGTTGTTTTCTCTCACTCTCTCTCTCTCTCTCTCTGTTGTTTTCTCTCACTCTCTCTCTCTCTCTCTCTGTTGTTTTCTCTCACTCTCTCTCTTTCTCTCTCTCTCTCTCTCACTCTCTCTCTTTCTCTCTCTCTCTCTATCTATCTTCGCACATATACACACGACGAGGTCGCGCACTATTTACACATCCCTTACATTTCCCACGCGCACGCGCATGGCGGGCAGGGCGGCGACCCCCGGCGGGCGTCGCCGCAACCCGGGGGGGGGGGCCGCGATCACGTGGCCGACGCGGACACGGACACGGACACGGGCGGCGTCATCTGCGTCGACGAAGTGATCATCGCTTCCTGCGACGTCAGGCTGGACGAGTGCGGCGACAACGGCGACGATGACGTCGTCGTCTCCGTGCCGACGACCTTCCTCTCCGTCGTCGCTGCCGCCAGCAGAGGAGGATCGACCTTCTCTGTTGCGGCGACGGTGGAGGCGCCGGTCGAGGTGGACGTCGCGTCGACGCGCAAGAGTTCCGCGGCGGCGGCGGCGGCGGCAGCGGATGCGGCGGCGGCGGCTGCGCCGCAGCAGTCGTTGTCGGTGGTCTGCGAGTCAGGTGACGTCATCATCGTGTCCTGCGAACGCACGCTGCAGTCGCCGAAGTCTTCGATGTCGTCCTCGCCATTCTGAATCGACGCGTCCTCGGAGCTGTCATCACCGCCCGTGTAGCGGATGCACTTTTTCTTCCTCCTGCGGAGAAAGAGACAAGCGAACGGCGCGATGATGCATGAGCGTGGCTGACGGCGGGGCAAAGATGGCTGCCGCGCGAAAGGTGGAGGGGCGTCGCGAGGGGGGAACAAACATGGCTGCCATGCAGAGAGCACATGCGTCTAAGGGTGTTGCTATCCCACGGGCGTGGAGGGAGGTCACGTGATAACGTTGACGATGACGTTCAAAACGTAAACCTAACGGTAACCCTCACTCCAACACCGCCAACACTAACACTCACACTAAATATATATGTGTCGCCGCGCTATATATAGGCATTGTGATCCACAAAAATTAATCTATGGTGTGGGGACGGATATCATGATGCAAAAACCCTAACCCTAACCCTAATCCTAACCCTAACCCTAATCCTAACACTATCCCAACACTAGTGCTGCCACATTGCGATCACCTCCCTCCACGCCCGTGGGATAGCATTACCCATGCGTCTAAACAGAGAAATTGCTCCGACCTGTGATTGGAGGATAAAAATAGACCCCGCCCACTCCCGCCGCATACGCTATGCTATGACCGGTAGGAACGTGTACTAACTATCATATGGAGCGAACGATTTGAGTTACATTTCTATAAATTCTAGCTATTATAGACACAAGTCTTAGCCTTAATCTCTGTAAATTTTGAGTCTATTGAAGCGCGATTAGTCTAATTAATTAGCAAATATGCATGCGCGGCTATGACCGGTGAAACGAAATGTCACGAATTCTACTTTTATCCTCCAAAAATGGAAAAGTGGGCAGGGTCTATTTTTATCCTCCAATCACAGGTCGGAGCAATTCCTCTGTTTAGACGCATGTCAGAGAGCAGACAGAGATAGAGGGGCGTCGCGAGGGGAAACAAACATGGCTGTCACGCGCACGATAGAGGGGCGTCGCGAGGGGGAACAAACATGGCCGCTGCACGTGAGATAGAGGGGCGTCGCGAAGGGGAACAAACATGGCTGTCACGCGTGCGATAGAAGGGCGTCGCGAGGGGGAACAAACATGGCTGCCATGCTCGCGATAGAGGGGCGTCGCGAGGGGGAACAAACATGGCAGCCGCAAAGGGGAACAAACATGGCTGCCACTCAGAGCGCAAACAGAAAGTGCATGGCGAGGATCGAACAAAGATGGTCACTGAACAGAGTGCGAGTAGGAATAGAGGGCACTGCAATGTCGGTTTGGCCGGGTCGCGAATCCATGCCGAGTTGAACGCGCGGGTCGCTGTTGGGGGAGAGGCGATGCCCGCACGCATATCCGTGGCAACGGGCAGAGCGGCGTGGCAGTACTTTCGTGCTATATGTGTGTGTGTGGGATGTCAGGTGGCTGCTTCTGTTACTCTGTACATGCTCCCCCACCGGATACTGCACACATGCAGTAAATGATGAGAGCATTGTGTGTGTGAGTGCATGCGTGCGTATGTGCATGCGAGTGCTTGCGCGTGCGTAGGTACATGTGAGTGAGTGCATGCGTGTGTGCATGCAAGTGCATGCGCATGCGTAGGTACATGCGAGTGAGTTCGTGCGTATGTGCATGCGAGTGCGTAGGTACATGTGAGTGCATGCGTGCGTATGTGCATGCGAGTGCTTGCGCGTGCGTAGGTACATGTGAGTGAGTGCGAGCGTGTGTGCATGCGAGTGCTTGCGCGTGCGTAGGTACATGTGAGTGAGTGCGAGCGTGTGTGCATGCGAGTGCTTGCGCGTGCGTAGGTACATGTGAGTGAGTGCGAGCGTGTGTGTGCATGCGAGTGCTTGCGCGTGCGTAGGTACATGTGAGTGAGTGCGTGCGTGTGTGCATGCGAGTGCATGCGCATGCGTAGGTACATGCGAGTGAGTGCGTGCGTGTGTGAATGCGAGTGCTTGCGCGTGCGTAGGTACATGTGAGTGCATGCGTGCGTATGTGCATGCGAGTGCTTGCGCGTGCGTAGGTACATGTGAGTGCATGCGCGCATGCGAGTGCATGCGCGTGCATAGGTACATGTGAGTGAGTGCGAGCGTGTGTGCATGCGAGTGCTTGCGCGTGCGTAGGTACATGTGAGTGAGTGCGAGCGTTCGCACTCACTCACATGTACCTACGCACGCGCAAGCACTCGCATGCACACACTGCGTGTGTGCATGCGTAGGTACATGCGAGTGAGTGCGTGCGTGTGTGAATGCAAGTGCTTGCGCGTGCGTAGGTATATGTGAGTGAGTGCGAGCGTGTGTGTGCATGCGAGTGCGTGCGTGTGCGTGTGCGTAGGTACATGTGAGTGAGTGCGTGCGCGTGCGTAGGTACATGTGAGTGAGTGCGTGCGTGTGAGGGAGTGCGTATGTGCATGCGTGCACGTAAGTCACTCTCTTGGCTCTGGTCTCGCAGCGACATGTAACAGTGACATGTAACAGTGACATGTAATGGTGACATGTAATGTTAACATGTATATAAATAGGAATATATATAGGTGAAATAGTAAAACCATGGTGTCGTTTCAGCAAAATTAATAAAGTTTACCTACCTTATTTTGATACTTCTCTACCGGAATATTATGCAGGAGTCATAGCTAGCCAATATAAGATCAACCGCTTGTCTCTACGATGTTCCTATGCCGAGATATCAAGCAATAAAAATCGAGTACTTCTAGGGAATCTTAGCGCTATATCACTGAGTAACACGCCTGTCCCGCGTTTAGTGACTGCTAATGTTGCTTCCGGTCGCCGCTTGGAGCGCTGACTCGTTACGTCATTACTACAGAGTTTACTACAGCTAGCGTAAGAGTCGGATCGCCATGGTGAGGGGCCATTGTCGGGCCGTCCTTTACGCTAGCTGTAGTAATAGACTGGTACCCGTCCCTTCTCACCCCCCCCCCGCTCGATATAGGGCGGGGGGGTGTGAGAATGGTCGGGTACCAGTCTAGCTGTAGTAAACGTTATAGTTTGAGTCATGGCTGCGACTGGAAATGTGGGACGAGATAGTAGAAGGAAAAGGAATGTTAAATCAGCAACACTATCGCAGGAGCAAGTAAATTATATTACAACGCGTTTAAGACAAGAGAAGCAGGATCACAGTGACGAGTTTTATTCGGCTATATATGATTCATCTCATTTATCAATAAACGACGGAAACATACGAGCTTTGTCGAAGCAACATTAGCAGTCACTAAACGCGGGACAGGCGTGTTACTCGGTGATATGGCGCTAGGATTACCTAAAAGTACTCGATTTTTATCGCTCTATATCTCGGCATAGGAACATCGTAGAGAGAAGCGGTTGATCTTATATTGGCTAGCTATGACTCCTGCATAATATTCCGGTAGAGAAGTATCAAAATAAGGAAGGTAAACTTTATTAATTTTGCTGAAACGACACCATGGTTTTCCTATATCAGCGCTGTACCCTCTGGGGTTAATGCGCTCTTGTTAACATGTAACGTTAACATGTAACGGCGACATGTAACAGTGACATGTAACGTTAACATGTAACAATGACATGTAATGTTAACATGTAATGGCGACATGTAACTAACGTTATAGTTGCGGAGCGCGGGTACATCGTCTTTCTCCCAACGATGAACGACACGACACGACGCGACGCGACACGATCCCCAACTTTCATCGCGACAATGGAACACGCAGGAATTACATGGCAGTATGCGTACCATGGTAGATATCCCCCCCCCCGTGGCGAACGTGGCCCCTTCATATTGCGCATGGGCGTGCGCGCGTCTACCATGACACTGATTGAGAGGGTCATGGATTTCAACCTTTATTGCCCATGCTCATTGCAGGGGGGGAATGCCATGATGAGGGGGGGATCTACCATGTTACATCAATATGCCACGCGTGGATGTGTTAGTACTGCTGCTACAGCCTACACGTCTCTGTCAACCAGTGCAAGTAACGCAGCACCCTCTATATAGAGGTTGCAATCCCCTCCCCTCCCCTCCCCAGCCGCACGCTTGCCTCCCTCCCCCACCCACACCAACGGAAGCCAGCGCACTATACATACATACATACATACATACATACATACATACACACGTAGACACACGCACACACCACAGACACGGACACGCACACATAGATATATATATAGGTTAGTGTTTAGCGGCGTCAGGACATTGTTACCTGTGCTGCCCCCTGACGCCGAAAAACAGCAACGACACCGATTAGAAAAAGACACACTTACGGATCGAACTTCTATCGATGATTAACGAATACTAATTAATTAGTTAGTTAGTTAGTTAATTAATGAATTGAGAATTACGCAAGATCAAGATCAAGATCAAGCACTACCTCTTAAAATCGAAAAATCTGTTCAATACTTTACACACAGAAGTAAGTAAGTGTCGCGCGCAAAAAGACGTGCAACAAAATAGAGTTAAATTTATAAAGTTTAAAGTTCGTAGTTAAATATTAACTCTACGCCGACTCCGGCAAACTCGCGATTTCTGCGCGTATTAACTAACATCGTCTGCTTTCTCTCACGCACGCTCCCACACGAGTCGTGACGTCACGCACGCACGCACGCACGCACGCACGCACGCTGTATTACTCTCTTATCCCTCTCTCCCCCTGGTCACGTGACACGAAAACAAACGACAGTCCGATCGACACATAGAGAGACGACGTGCCAGGGAGCCCGCGCGCCGTAACCGCAGCAACCACGTTCCAAACGTGGCTTCCACCCCCACGCGCTAAATTCCAGCACATGTCGCCGGGCGGTGCCCGCGCGCGCGGGGCCCCTAGCACGGATTAGTGAGAACACAGTGCATCATGCATCGCCATGCGGGCGGGCTCCGGCAACGATGGCAGGTGGCACCATCTACGGGCTCGCCGGACAAGCGGAGGTGCAAAAAAAATCGACGAACAACACCGATCAGCATCGAACCGGGCCATGCTATATCAGGTACATCGTGTGACAGCAGTGCGCGACACAGCACGACATGCCATGCTATATCAGGGGGCTGTCACGGTGCACCTGATATAGCATGGCATGTCGTGCTGTGTCGCGCACGGCTGTCACGGTGCACCGCCATGCTATTCAGGGTACATCGTGACAGCGCGTGCGCGACACCCGCACGAACATGCCATGCTATATCAGGTGCACCGTGACAGCCGTGCGCGACACAGCACGACATGCCATGCTATATCAGGTGCACCGTGACAGCCGTGCGCGACACAGCACGACATGCCATGCTATATCAGGTGCACCTTGACAGCAGAAAAATACAGCATGACACGCCATACCATATCAGATACATCGTGTCACGTGCGTGTCACAGCACGACACGTCATGTCATATCAGGTACATCGTGACAGCCGTGCGCAACACAGCACGACATGCCATGCTATATCAGGTACATCATGACAGCCACAGCCTCGCTGCATGACGTGACAACTGTGTTGCGCTTCACGACACGCCACGGCATCACGCAAAGCACGAAATCCGAAGCGAGAAATTCGCTTCGCCCTAACAACCGAAAATCGAAAAACCAAAGCGAGCGAGCAGGGAAGGGTCGAGACGTAAAAAATCGAAAAAAAGAAGAAGATCGGTCGGCCATGCAAGTGCCACGAAACAGCTGGCAGGCACCGGCCACAGCAGGGACGCTCGAGTGTGAGTGGGGGAGGGGTCGTCAGGGGTGGGGGTGCCGGGGGTGGGGGCGCCGGGAAAGGAGGCGCCGGGGGATAGGGCGCCGGTATGGGGGCGCCGGAAAGGGGGCGCTGGGGGTGGGGCGCCGGGGGTTGTGGGTGCACGCAGTCCAGTGGTCAAGGGTGGCCCGCGACTTCACATTATCTCGACTTCGCTTCTCTCCCTCTAGTTCGGACGTCTCTCTTGCCCCGACGACATGAGGGTCGCTGCTCAAACTCTGACCTCACCATATGGCTGGCACGTTTCCAAGTGGCCAAGCGGTCACTTGCGACGTCGGAGTTCTGCTACGATTGGGGGTGTGAATGCAAGAATTCGCACATCGATAGATTGGGCAGCGCACGCACTCGCTGTGATGACAAATCGGGTCGACTCTCACGCTGGGGTCAGGGGTCACAGAGTCATAACTTTGTAAGTTCGGAACGTTGTAAAGTCTACCGCGAAAATGAAAAGACGCTCCCCGCCTCCCCACCACTCGAAAAAGTAGAGGGGCTCTGGAGAGGTGAGAGGGGGGAAACGAACACGTGCTATGCTCGCCACGTAGCGCCACCTAGCGTCCGGCGAGCGCAGCCAACCGGGAGGGTGGGGGTGGCAATATTAAATCGCCACGTCGCCGCAGATACGAAAATAAGACGACCAAGAAACGAACGACAGAAAAGGACGGGATTTGTCCGCGCCGTCGCCACGGCAACGACAAACAGATTCCACGGCGCGCAAAAAAACCAAAGAGAAAGCAGAGAGCGGCGATGCAAAACAAAAGAACGTCGAGGGGTGGGGTCGTAAATGGGGTCGTCGGGGGGTCAGCGCCACATCGGGGAGAGACCGTCCCTGCTGCCACATTGTCGTACATTGTTGCCATGCCAAGAAATTACACATCGAACCAATCAATCAATCGGCAATCAGGCAGGTTCCAGAAAACGCAGCCACAATGTAAACAATGCCCGTTACCGTGGTAACCGGACCCGTGCTGCCATCTATACTAACCGACACGGCTTGCACCAGTGGTTTTGCTGATCTAGCCCGTACCGTGCTCGACACTTTTTCGGATTGTTGGCCTCTAGAACAAATGCACTTTCTATTATTTGCTGACGAGACGCGTTCACCTGGTGTTAGTAGGGGGAGAGGGAGGGGGCGTGTGCATATCGCGACGCGCGTCCGCTGGCGTGACGGTCCCTCCTCCCGCCCTGGGGGGAGGGCTTCCTCCGCGGTGGAGGATTCCTGCCTCCCCCGGGCATCGGTCCCGGCACGGACTACCACCCTAGAGGGATTTACCACCCCTGCTAGACTACGACCCATCCCTGTCGGAGCCCTTCTCCTGTCGACCGGTGGGTGACACTTGGTGGGCCTCCTGGTTCCCTCCACCCCATGCCGGGCCTCGTTCTCACCACTCTGATCACTGCTGACACTAATTCTCATCTTCATGAATAGGCTCTTGTTCCTCATCTTGTCTCTACTGGATCTTGTATCATTCCCACCATCCCCGTTGGGCCTCATTCCTACCATGCCCCAAGCCTTGTTCCCGCCATCCCCGCCGGGCTCCGTTCCCGCCCCCGGGGGGAGGGTACGCCACGCCAGCCGACGCGCGACGCTCGAACGCAGACGTACACACACACACGCACGCGCCCCCGCCGCACACACACCTGCGCGCACTAAGAACACACACACACACACGCAGGCAGACGCACTAACTCCCCCATCGCCGCCGCCGCCGCCGCCGTGTGCCGCCGCCCGTCCACCTGGTGACAGAAAAACGAACTAGCGTGATTAGTGTTGAGACGCGTCCCTGCGCCGCGCCGCCTCCGCCCGCACGGCGGCGCCCTCTGGCGCGCACGGCAGCCGCGGCGGCGCGGCGACGACGACGTTGGATGCTGCTGCTGCTGGTGTTAGTTAACGAGGATGAGGATGAGGAGGAGGATGCTGTGTAGGTGTAGGTGTGTGTACTCACTGGCAGGGTTTGCACCACTGGGCCTGCTGATCGAGGCCGTAGCGCGCTCGGCACTTCTTTAGATTCTCCTCTCCTGCAACGACATCTGCAAATTTACCTGCCAGTTAATCACCAGGTGGCGCTCACGCGCTCGCGCGCACCAAACGATATATCTCTCTTCGAATGCTCATCGTCAAACGAAAACGCTATGCTAGATGGCGCCAGGGAACGAAACGAGCTCAGCGATTTTTTGTCATCGCCGTCCAGGCGATGACCACGCTCCGTGTTGCTAGCACGGTCGTAACTCCATCCCTGCTATTAGCATGACCCCACCCACCCCACTGATAACTTTGGCTAACTCATGGTATATCTTTGGTCAGCCATGGTATATCTTTGGTCAGCCATGGTATATCTTTTGCTCAGTCACTATATACCATGGCTAACTCATGGTATATCTTTGGTCAGCCATGGTATATCTTTTGCTCACTCATAGTATATATTTGGTTCATCAATGGTATGTGTTTAACTGTCTCTTGCTACATCTTTGGCATACACTTGCTAAGATGTACAGGTTTGCCTCACCTTTGTTAAATCGTCGACCCACCCCTACCACGATCTTTGGCCCACCCTTGCTACATCATTGACCCACCCTTACTCTACCTCTCTGCACAGCTTTGGAGAGGCCCTAGCTCTATTTGTCAACTTTATTCCCTTATATATATATATATATATATATATATATATATATATATAATCAGTCCTGTATCATCCATCCTTCCTCTTGTCCCCACTCGTTTCGTTCCCCAGCCATCGGATAAATAGGACTAAAAAAATAGGACTAAAAAAACAATTTATTTTTATTCACTCCTGATATTACACTATAATATATATACGGGGTGACCCAAACAAAATGAAACCCAAACAAGTGTTAATAACTTTTTTGATATTGATGTGAACCCTTTTAATATTTAAAGAGGTGAATAGGTGCCAATCCGATTAGAATCAAGAGTTTTTAAGATGCCTTGGACTCTTCGACAGAAATCATGGTCCGTGGAAACGTACTTTTCGACCAAATAGTTCAAAACTGTACAAGCACGTTTCAAGAGGGAATTCAATTGCCGCACCTATCCAAACAAAGATGGGTACAGATGTTTAGGGTGCACGGGACTGTCAGGAACCTCAATGCCAAAAGGAATACACTCATGGAGACAAAGGAGTGCAAGGACAGAAGAGAACATCACCTCAGTCAGGACCTCGGTTGGCCGCAGTCCAAAGAAGTCGTTACGTTGGCGCAGTCAACAATTGGGCATTCCGAGGGAGTCTCTGAGGAGAATTATCTGGGTCAACTTATGCTTAATTTCTATCCTGTATGGGTACGAATGCAGATCCTGAATCAAAATTCTCCTCAGAAACTCCCTCGGAATGCCCAATTGTTGGCTGCGCCAACATAACGACTTCTTTGGACTGCGGCCAACCGAGGTCCTGCCTGAGGTGATGTTCTCCTCTGTCCTTGCGCTCTTTTGTCTCCCTGAGTGTGTGGCAGTATTCCCTTTGGCATTGAGGTTCAGGTGAGGACCCTGAACTTCTGTACCCATCTTAGAATGAGTCCTTTGTTTGGATAGGTGCGACAATTGAATTCCCTCTTAAAACGTGCTTGTACAGTTTTGAACGATTTGGTCAAAAAGTACGTTTCCACGAACCATGATTTCTGTCGAAGAATCCAAGGCATCTTAGAAAACTCTTGATTCTAATCTGATTGGCAACTATTCACCTCTTTAAATCTGAACAAGTGCCGCAGAGCGACAGCGCTCACCTGACGGCAGGTGTTCTGATGCTATACTCACTGGCAAACGAATGAAGAGCACCTCCCATCACCGCGTTCGCGCTCTAAGAGCATATATCTAGGATACTAACTATAAAGATCTAAAATCTATGATAGCTAGGCTTTGGCTATACCGGTAAGTACAGTACAAAAGATACAGCTGTGGGGGGGTAAGACTTTAATGGACCTTCGCTTATAACATGTTATCATGGATATCGTCGAGCAGCGGGCGTAGTGTGGTGGTTGGGGGAGAGTGGGGGGAGAGGGCGGGTGGAAGGGGCCTAATAGCAAAAGCAGGTTGCCGCGAGATGGGGCGGGCAAGTGCTCAATAAATCAAAGATGGCATCACCCTTCGTGCGTGATAACCGTCACACTCCCATTGAGTTCTGAAGATGCCAAGTATATTCAGGCAGGCAAGAATTTCGCTCCAGGCTGTGGAGTTAACAATATCTGCATTGCAGGTTGGCCAGGCCAATAATTATGATTAGAATAGTGGAGTTCACCCCCATGCATGCGTGAATGGGCTGCCCCCATTGTTTCTTGCGCATACACACAGCTGCCGAGCGCATTCCAGGGTTCATTTACAGGTCTGATATTACAGGGTGCTACTCAAGGTTGCTAATACAGAGCTGCTTTAGAAAATAATAATGATTTTAAGGAGCGTAAACCTTGTTCAACAAACATTTGCCTTGCAATGGAACTGTGCAAACTGTAGCCCAACATCCACAATGGCAAAAGCAGTTCAGGTCTTTGTTAACAGTCACAATCCATGTTAACCCCTTCTCTTGAGGTCCAAAAGGATTATCAAAACTTACTCTCGCATTTTCAGCAGAAAGTTCATTTCAATGGTCCTTTCAATAAAGCGCATAAAAATGCTGAGGTTCCCGCTGAAACAAAAGTTTTTCAAATCGCTCCGTCAGACCAATGTCCTTCAGAAAAATGCTTAAATGCTTCGCCTGTGCCCAGTTGACTGCTTTGACTGTGATCCTCCAATTTCGGCACAGTGATGGGCTTTGCCTACCATGATGCTATACACCGACTATGCACGAGGCACTAGGTCGAGCCGTTAAGATTGTGCCGGAATTCTGGGCATTTCGCTCGCCTAACCTAAAGTTAAGAGGAATGTTACCCCCTTCTTTTACACACCTCCTTGACCTTGACCGTTTGAGCCCCGCAGCTTCGACATCCCAACTCGTTTGACGATTCCCCCAACGTCGGCGCCGATATATCGTGACGCGTACGTCGGAGCGGTTAAGATTTGCCGCAATTGTTGACGGACGGACCGACGCACGGAACGCACAGCACGTACGTACGGACGGACCGGACGATGCATGCGATTCTCATAGCTGGGCATCTGACTATGTCAAGATGAAGCTAAACCAAATGAAAATGGGGGGGGTGGTGGGTTCACATCAAGGTGACAAAAAAGTTATTAACAATGGGTTGCATTTTTTTGGGTCACGCCTGTATGCCTTATACACGCCCCCCCCCCACACAAGCCTACCACACGCACCACGCACGTGCACGGCACGCAAAGCAACGGGCACGCACGCAGCGCACGCGACCGCAGGCACGCACGCACAGTCACAGCCACACACACACACACACACCCACTGGAACTATCATCATGACTGGTACAGTTACGAATATATCACATTGATATGATCATGCATAATACACTCATAAGCCACCGGGATGTCAATAAAGGAAACCTAAGACTAAAAGGGAAGGAAAAAGCGGAAATAAACATATATCTATGAAGCCAACATTACAAGAAAAATATGACAAAGACGCAGAAGTGACTGAAAATAGATGGCAGGGAAGTAGATCGGATGTGAAGTAGATCAGATGTAAGCACGGGGAGAGGCTGGAAAATGGAAGAAGGAATAGTTGGCATCGGTAGCGGGGAATGGAGATGGGCTGTATCATGGAAGCAGGAAGAGGTACAAGGGACGGTGGCGGGGAAGTGGCTGGAAAGTAAATATTCTGACTAGAAAAAATAGAAATCAACGATGACAACATGATCAAGGGATGCTGTCTTCGCTGGCTGGTAATGAGGAGGCGTGACTGTGGGAGGCAGGGATAAGGTTACGGTGGCTTTCTTACAACAGTAGTAGATAAACTTAATTAATTAATTAATTAAATAATTAACAGTAATAACGCATTGCGAACACCATCATATATATAACGAAGCACTGAAGGCCAGCAGTAGACATAGAAGGCCATGAGTCCTCTCTCTCTCTCTCTCTCTCTCTCACGCATAACAACACAGCTCACAATCACCGCTAATTACTCTGCCCAGTCCTCTTGTTTTCTAACGCTTCTGTAGTATCTGTTTTATGCACTAGCTCTCGCTGTTCCAGGCGATGCTCTACACCACCTCTACTATATCTCTCTTCGCACCTCTCTCTCTCTCTCTCGTCGTTCTCTCCCTATGTATATATATATATATATATATATTATATATTAATATATATATATATCACCGTCATGCATCTCTCTCGTTCTCTGCTGCTTCTCGCTCTATCGCTGCGCTATTTATCTCTGCATCTCATCTCTCTCTCTCTTCCCCTCTCCCTGGTCCGACTTTATCATGCCTCTCATCCGTAAATTCCTCTTGCTTCTCTCTCTCTGCGTCTCTCTCTCTCAGATCTCTCTCTCTCTCCTCTCTCGTCCCTGCTGTTCCATTCTCTCTCATCTCACCCCTGTCTATGTCTTTCACCTCCCTTTACCCCTCCCTATCTATCTATATGGTTACCGCTTTCCCCCTCCCTCATTTCTCCCGCGTTTCTCTTCTGTCGGGCTCAGCCCCTCTTTTCCCCTCTCTGCTTATCTCTCTCACCGCATTCTCGCTCTCATTCTCATCTTCAACCTCTCTCTCTTTCCCTCAGCCCCTCCTCCTCCTCCTCGCTCCTCCTCCGGCCCTCGCTCCACCATCCCATCTACGCGGCCGTCCTCCTCCTCCACCTCCTGCGCTGCCTCCCACCTCCTCCTCCCTCGACGCTCCCCCTCCTCCTGCCACAACCACCGCACGTCCTCTCCCCTAACGATCCTCCTCCACCTCCCCCCACCCTTCTCCCCTCCCCTCCGCCTCATCCTCCACCCACCCCCCCTCCGCCACCCGTGGAGTCAGCACATGCCTACCTGAGGGCGTCGGCCCTGAAGTCTTTGTCTTGCGCTTTTGCGTTTTTTTGTTCCGCTTGAGCTGCTGAAGCGTAGTTGTCTCAGCGCGCTCCAGCCCGGGTAGAGCTGCATGTGCAGCTGGCCGCTCCTTGCGCGCCAGGTCCAGATAGTACTTGACTGCTCGGCGGGGCGGTCTAGCGCGTGCCAGGCTGAAAGACGCAGCAGAAGAAGAGAGAGTAGAGACGTTAGTAAGGGGGGTACAGATTACTTGTCTGGCCCACAAAACTAACAAATGCAGTCACTGGGCAAACAGCCGGAGAAATGAGAATGCTAAGGAAACGTCTGACTGTATATCGTTTAGGCGTCAACATCCATCATCCTCATCACCATCGATTCATTCATGCATAATCCAATTACATCGTCATCATCATCAATCCGCCATGCAGCGGCCATCATTTCATCAATCATTCATTATCATCGTCATCATCATGCAACAATCGATCATCATCATCATCATTATCATCATCGTCATCATCGCAGGATGTTTTTATCCAGCTTTGGGGGGGAGGCTATGCTAAGCGACACTTAATGCTAAGTAATCAGCCCCTCTCTTCCTCCCTCTCTCCCACCCTTCCTCTCTCCCTCGCTCCCTCTCCCTACCCTTCGATTCACCATGGAGGGAGGTGTTTACGCGTGATACAAGCACTCTCATGCCCGCGGCGACGTCGATGACGACGACGACGACGACCGAACGGGAGGGACGACGACGACGACGACGACGTAGTTCTTAGCGCGTTAATATACGTCATGCAGAAAACATAAACGGATGGCAGACGGAACGGAGTCTCTCTCTCTCACTCTCTGTCTGCATGTCTCTCTCTCTCTCTCACTCTGTCTGCATGTCTCTCTCTCTCTCACTCTCTGTCTGCATGTCTCTCTGCCTCTGCTCTTACTCATAATGTCTGCATGTCTCTGCTCATTCTCTCACTCTATGTCTGCATGTCTCTCTCTCTCTCTCACTCTATGTCTGCATGTCTCTCTCTCTCTCTCACTCTCTGTCTGCATGTCTCTCTCTCTCTCTCACTCTCTGTCTGCATGTCTCTCTCTCTCTCTCACTCTCTGTCTGCATGTCTCTCTCTCTCACTCTCTGTCTGCATGTCTCTCTCTCTCTCCCTCTGTCTGGCAAAATGTGCTCATCTCCTCTCTCACTCGCTCGTCTGCATGTCTCTTGCTCTCTCAGCCTCTGTCCTGCAGTGTCTCTGTCTCTCCTCTCTGTCTGACATGTCACTCGTCTGCTCACTTCTGTCTGCATGATCTCTCTCTCTGTCTCACTCTCTGTCTGCATGTCTCTCTCTCTCACTCTCTGTCTGCAATGTCTCTCTCTCTCTCTCGATCACTCTCTGTGCTGGCATGTCCTCGTCTCTCGCCCTCTCTGTCTGGCATGTCTCTGCTCCTGCCTCTCTGTCTGCAATGTCTCTCTCTCTCTCACTCCTGTCTGAATGTGGTCTCTCTCTGGCTGGCACTCCTGATGTCTGCATGTCTTCTCTCTCTCTCACTCTCTGTCTGCATGTCTCTCTCTCTCACTCTCTGTCTGCATGTCTCTCTCTCTCACTCTCTGTCTGCATGTCTCTCTCTCGCTCACTCTCTTTCTCCCCCCCCCCTCTCTCACTCTCCCTCACTCTCTCTCCTCTCCCCCTCTATTCTTCCCTCTCCCTCCTGCTCTCTCTCTCGCATCTCCTCTCTCTGCGGCCCTCTCTCTGCCTGCGCCCTCCTGCTATCTCTCCCTCTCCCTCCTCTCTCTCTCTCTCTCTCTCTCTCTCTCTCTTTCTCTCTCTTTCTCTCTCGCTCTCTCTCTCTCGCTCTCTCTCCTCTCCCCCTCTATCTCTCCCTCTCCCTCCTCTCTCTCGCTCTCTCCCTCTATCTCTCTCTTTCTCGTTCTCTCCCTCCTCTCTCTCGCTCTCTCTCTCTCTCACTCCTCCGCTATCACGCAGGAGTTGCGTTAGTAGTGTGTATACACCGCACGACTACGGTGGCGGTGGCGGCGGCGATGTGAAATGAAGCCAGTGTCCCCCACCGGCTCCTGCTGCATGATCAGTAAGCAAAGTAAACAAGACTCACAGAGAAAAATAAGGCCCGGGTAGCTAGCTCTAATAATAATCATAATAAGACACAACTACATGTTGAAACCCATGCTAAAGCACTTTTAATTATCGAGCGCGACCGGCGGAGACACCTGGTGTTAATGTCGGGAACCGTTCCAGGAATGTCAGCCTGCCTGCATGCAGCTAACGATTCTTAAAAAAAAACGAAAGAAAAACGCAAGAGTAACAGGGAGCGACCGACCGACGCTACGTCTTCCTCCTCATCCTCCTCCTCCTGCTCCTCCTCTTGCGGAGGAAGGGAGAGAGAGAGAGAGAGCGTCGGCAACAGAGAGAGAGAGAGAGAGGAACGAACGCTTCTCATATATATATATCAAGATATTTTTTTTATCGAGCTCTCGCGTAAAGAAATCGATGTATACAGTGCACTCTCGATGTTCCGAACTGCCATTCAGACCAGCGCCATCTAGCGGCGGCGATAATAATCAAAAGTGCTTTAGCCTCTCGCGGCAGCGGCGGCGACGTATTTTGTAGCGCGTGGAGGAGGCGGCAACGCGCGCGCGCCTGCGCGCGGGGGGGAGGGGGTTGCGGATTCGCTGTCCTGCACACACGATCCCCGCCTCCGCCCCGCCCCTTGAAGGAGGGACCCCTCCAGGAGGGGCAGTGAGGGGGTCGTGCTCTCCCCGAGATAAATTTTGCGTGCCCGAAATGTGCGCGCGCGTTCGCTTGTTTTCGCTCGCTGAGTCGCAATCGGGAAAATCGACAGTCCACTGTAACATGGCTACTGAACTGATTCTGGCGGCGGCGGCGGCGGCAGGGGCGGGCCGACGGCAGCGGCGGCGCCCCCTGACGTTTGAGCCTGGCAACTAGCCGCTGCAGCCTGCTGCATTCCGGCCAGCTTCTGCATGTGCAATTCGCGCTCCCTCCTCGCGAGTGCAAAATATTTCGCCTTTTCACTGTTGTCCAGGGCATGCCACTAAACACAAAGAAAACACGTGTATAACAGAGAGAAACCGGTGTGCCAGGATCCGAGGGAGAGCGAGAGAGAGAGCGAGAGAGAGAGAGAGAGAGAGAGAGAGAGAGAGAGAGGAGGAGGAGAGAGAGAGAGAGAGAGAGAGGGGGGGGGAGAAAGAGAGAGCGAACCAGAGAGAGAGAGAAAGAGAGAGAGGGCGGAGAATGAGAGAGAGAGCGAGAGAGAGAAGAGGAGAGAGATAGATAAAGAGAGAGAGAGAGTGAGTGAGAAAGCAAACGATATATATATATAATATATATATAATATAGACGAGAGGCAGAGAGAGAAGAGAGAGAGGAGAGAAAGAGAGAGAGAGAGAGAGAGGAAGAGCAGCGAGAGAGCAGAGGAGAGAGAGAGAAAGAGAGAGTTAGAGAGAGCACAAGAGAGAAAGAAGGAAAGAGAAAAGAGGAGAGAGCCAGAGAGCGCGGCCGCACGCGCGGAGGAGAGAAGAGAGGACAGTAAGAAGAAAGAAGAGAAATATGATATAGATTAGACTAGATAGATAGAGAGAGAGAGAGGAGGAGAAAGGGGAGCAGATGAGAGAGAAAAGTGAGAAAGCAAGGGAAAGCCAGAGAGAGAGAGATGGAGGCAAAGAGAGAGAGAGAGAGATAGAGAGAGAGGGAGTATAGCACAGCTAGCCACATACTGAGGTCGTGAAGTTAAGACAAGACGATCACTGTGAAAGATTGTGCAAATAAAAACCAAGTGCCAGAGAGCGACACAAAAACTTAAACGAGGAGGCCACAAGGAACCGAGTGGCTGAGAGAGACAGAGCAGGAAGAGGAGAGAGAGATAGGAGAGAAGAAGAGAGCGAGCAAGAAAGCAGAGAGAGAAGATAGATAGAGAGAGAAAAGATAGGGAGAGTAAAATAAAAAGCGAGATAGAGAGAAAGAGAGAGAAAAAAAAACAGAGAGCAATAGACGAGAGAGAGAGAGAGAAGGAGAGAGGAGAAAGAGAGAAAAAGGAAGAATTTGCGAAGACTGCGCCGACGTGACAGACCGAGACAGAGATGGGAGGGATAGACAGAGTGTGCACTAAGACACGAGAAGGAGCACGACAGCAAGCCGACCTTCACGGTACGCACAACGACCTAAGGGCGCTCGCGGCGCAACGACAGCGCACAAGACTGGCCCACCCCGGACGCGCCACTACACATAATGGCGCTGGCGATCGACTCCTCGCTCGATCGTCCGTCCTCATCCCGAAACATCGTCCCTCCCCACCGCCGGCGTAGGTGGCGCCCCTGCACGCCCCCATCTCCTCTAGGTGGTCCCCCTTCCTCCCGCTAGGTGGCGCCGGCGACCGGGCATCACCCGGCGTCCGAGGATCTGGTTGATGCGGCGCTCTCCTTGAGCGTGCATCGCGAGCGACGGGACGCGGCGCATCTCCTTCATGTAAGCATGAACGCGTTTCAGCGGCTTCTTGATGTGGTTCTCTTCTTCTTGAGGCGGCCAGCTGCTGATGCGGCGCGCCCCCGCCACCGCCGCCACCGCCCCTGGTGGTGCGTGGTGGTGGTGGGCGGCGGCACGGCGCGTGCTGCGACGAACTAGGCCGGGACCTGGCTGGCTCGCCGCGGCTGCCCCCGTGTGACTCGTGAGGGCCAGCGAGTTCCGAGGGGCAGAGGTCAAAGGTCAGCGCGAAAGTACGGAAGACGGTGAGGGAAGGGTGGTTCTGTGTGTGGGGGCGGATCTCAGCATGGCGTTATTTCGTTATTTGTTGTTATTGTATCGTTATCTTATGTCTGTTTTGTATGATTCTCATCGCACCACCTATTTTCATTTTCGTATTGGATCGGATACCGTTTACGCTATTACGTTTTCGTACAAATCTTACATTTTCAATATTACCGTATCGTAACAATGTATTTTCGTATTATTTCTCACTCTCAAACTCTAACCAAATCTATTATACCATCGTTCGCTATATTAATATAGCCTATATATGCGTGTGTGTGTATATTATATACATAAATATATATATATATATATATATATGATATATTATATATAATAATATAAGATGACATAAGAATATAGGCCGTGGCTACGCGGCCCGGTTACCGACACCCAAGCCTCCAGGCTATATTATATTTCTTAGTATAACCAAACATATTTTTCAGTAAAAAAAATAAACAATGCGTTTTTACAATAATATTACTTAACCTTAAGTCATTTTATCAAAAAAATTGTTTTTTTGTACCTTTTGAAGCCAATAGTACATCTGGTGAAAATCAGACGAATTAGAAGAGGGCGTGCGCTAATAGTGCCGTGGATTTTGAGAATCTGCGCGAGGCTTTGTAATGGGATGACCGCGAACGCGTAGCCGCTGCCGTATCTATATATATATAAGTATATACATACATGTGCGCATCGTACCTATGGTGATCCTGAGGATGGATTTCTTGTTTTGGTCCGGCGTGACGGAATGGCTGGACGTGGGCGATACCGGGGTGGTGGTTGGTGCCGGCGGCATCCGCCGCGTGACCCGGGCAGGCAATTGCCCGGCGGACTGTACCTCCCAAATACAAGCGAGCAGCCTGTGATCGATGGCGGCGCGCGGAATGCGACGAACTGCCAGCACCCCCGGCGAGACATCCAACCCACATGTCGCACTTTTTCTATGAAACTCGCCACGCCACACTGACACCACCACTAACCCCACCCTCGAAAGAGGCACACCCCCTAACCACACCACACTGACAAATGCACCCACCTAACCCTGAATTAAGTGAAGGACTCCGCCTAACCGTGGCACGTTCCGACTCACCCGTGGATGTGGGGACACGTCGGCGAGACGGCAGGGCCCACCTACCTTGGCAAATGTTCCAGTATTTACATGACAGCGAGCCGGGGTACGCGCCGCGGAACGCGTTTGATGCCACGGGTTACATCGACCGACGCGATGCTGCAAGACACGAGACGTGAGGGTGGAGACACGAGACATGAGATATGAAGACAATCAATATCGAGACATGAGATATGAGAGCATGAGATCATGAGACATGAGATATGAGACATTGAGACAATGAGAATATGAGAATACGGGATTGTGAGAATGAGACACGACCATAAGACCATAGACTCATAGACACGAAGACGATACACAGAGGCATGGGATGTGAGATGTCAGCCGTGGGGACTGAGATGTTGAGACATGAGATGTGAGAACATGAGATGTGAGACTTGTGACGTGAGACAGAGATGTCGAGCAGTTAGACACGCGGACGTGAGACATGAGATGTGAGACATGAGACTGAGATGTGAGCCGTTAGACACGCGGACGTGAGACATGAGATGTGAGACAATGAGACATGAGATGTGAAGGCCGTTAGACACGGGACGTGAGACATGAGAATGTGAAGACTGAGACATGAGGATCGTGAGCCGTTAGACACGGGACGTGACGACATGAGATGTGAGACATGAGACATGAGATGTGAGCCGTAGACACGGGACGTGAGACATGATGTGAGACATGAGATGTGGACATGAGATGTGCAGACATGAAGATGCTGAGACATGAGATGTGAGACATGAGACGTTAGACATGAAGATGTGCAGACACGAGATCGGTTGAGCCGTTAGGACCACGCGCGACGTGAGACATGAGATGTGAGATGTGAGACACAGATGTCGAGACATGAGAGAGAAAAAAAAAAAAGAAAGAAATGATTGAAGCCGTTAGACACGGGACGTGAGACATGAGATGTGAGATGAGACATGAGATGTGAGGACACGAGATTGTGATATGATGAGATGTCAGATTGCTGATAATTTTTGTTTATATTGTTGTATATTGGATTTTATAATTGTTATTTGTAGTTTATATATTTGTCATATATAATAATTGTTACATGTGCTTCACAGATAGACATGCAAATTTGAAACAATATCAATAATATTTTAAAACGTTTTACTATTTTAAACATAAACTGGAACTCAAATCTATGCATGTTAGTATTTACTTGTTAGTTGGTTACGTAGTTATATTTACTGGCCTGCTTAATTAGTTAGTCGGAGAGTTAGGCCATTAGTTAGTTGTAAATTAGCATAATATATCAGTGTGTAGTTATATGGCAACGCTTAGTAAGGAGATTAGAGATCGAACGTGAATCAACGAAAAAGTTCTCGTCTCTCTCTCTCTCTCTCTGCTCTTCTCTCTCTCTCTCTCTCTCTCATCTCTTCTCTCTCTCTCATCATTCTGGTCTCTCTCTCTGCTGGCGCGCGACGTGACGCAAACGCAGGCAGCCGAAGCAATAGCGGCGCACGGCAAACGCTGCGGTAACCATGGCACGCGAGGCGGCGGCACGCCGGGAGCTCACGTGGCGGAGGAGGGAGCGACAAGCGGACGATGACGATGAGATGACGACGGCGGTGGCCGACATCAGCACGTAGAGGCCGGTGGGGCTACGAGCGTGATGCCAGCAGGCAGCAGCAGCAGCACGCCGGCGGCGGCGGCAGCGGCTGTAGGCAGCATCGTGGCTAGAAGAAGGCGGGCCGGGCGGACGGGCGGCGTGGCGGCCAAAACACACGGAAGGGATATTACAAGCAGGAGATTAACTACACGCTATAACAGCGCTAACAGACCGCGAAATATCAGCAATACCAGAGGAGGATGGAGGAGGGAGCGAGGGAGAGAGATAGTAGAGAGGGATGGAGAGAAGCGAGGGAGAGGAGAGTGAGAGAGAGGAAGAGAGGATGGGGAGAGGGCGAGAGAGAGGAGGGAAGGAGGGAGGGAGGAGGGAGAGAGGGAGGGATGGAGAGAAGGAGGGAGAGAGTGAGCGGGGAGAGAGGAATGGAGGGAGGGAGGGCACGGAGGGGGGGAGGGAGGGAGGGAGTGGAGGGAGGGAGGGAGGGGAGGGGCGTGGGTAGAGTGCATGTGACAACACACTGATACTGCTGATACTGATAACTGATATGGAGCACAACCCTCTCTATAGCTACCCAAGTAGTTAGTGGTACACA